GACTCAACGGCACCTAACAACAACAACAACAACATATGTAATCACACCCAAAAATGCCTTAAATGGTAAACTCATAGCAACACCCACTGAATTTTCAAGGCTTTAAATCTTTATGGAAGCAGACTGCCTCATCTTTCTTCTATGGAGTGGCTGTTAAGTTCAAACCACTGGTCTTTTGGTTAGCAGCCAAATGCCTTACCCACTACAACACCAGAGCCCTTTTAAATGGTAAAAATAAGATACCAGTGGATTCTGACTCACACGACCCTACAGGACAGAGTAGAATTGCCTCATAGGATTTCCAAGCCTGTGATCTCTATTGAGGCAGACTGCCACATCTTTGTCCTGTACAAAGCTACTGGTGGTTTTGAACCACCAACCTGCTAGTTAGCAACCCGATGCTTAATCAACAAGCATCACCAAGGATGATTCAGATGTTTTTATTACACTCCTCACGCTCCCAGAAAATAAACTAAACATTCAAAATGTACCACCATTCATCTGTCAGATTGTCATACTGTGTGTGTCATAATGAGAAATTAGACCACTGAAGAAAATGAATTAACAGCCAACATTTCTCTAGTACTCATAAGCCACAACCTAATCTGTATCTTGTTCCTTTTCTTTAAAAGTAAAGAAAGTAGCAAGTAAGGCTGTGGGGTCTTGTGAGACTTGCAAGTAACCTGTATTCTAAAGATTATTGCCACTTCAGAATTTAAATGTAACTGAAAAGAGGTAATCTTTTTGCAGGTCTTGGAAGCCCTTGATGACATAGGTGATCTCTTACAACTGAAATATTCCCGGCACAGGAAGTCAGCACGTCCTGAACTCTATGACGAGACAAGCTTTGAACTTGACGATTAAGTCTTCAGGTCCTGATTGGTCTTTTTCCTGAAAGACCTCCCTCCTTGCCTTCAAAAGAAATATAAATGAGTTTCTCCCCTTCTCTAAAGACAATGTTGGTTTCTAGATCAGGTTAATTGGACTGAAGGACACATTGTTGTGTTTTCAATATCTCTAACTTGGCACTCAAAAAAAAAAAAAAAAAAATTACTGCCATCAAGATTCTGACTCATAGCAACCCCTATTGGGTTGCCAAGGTTGTCCATTTTCACAGAAGCAGACTACCCCATCTTTCTTCTGCGGAACAGTGGGTATGTTGGAACCACTAACCTTTTAGTTAGCAGCCAAATGCCTTAATCACTACACCACCAAATCTTCTTTTTAAATTGAGACTGGAAAGACAAAAACATGATTTCAGATTTAAGTTTCTCCTTTTCCAAGTATTTTGCTAGAAATATACATACACATCTTAGAATATTTTTAATGGCAATAAGCCTGTATTTTAGCTACTACTGTACAGCCACTTTGATCCAGACCTTTTCAAGGATTCCAACTAAAAGAGAAGATTTTTATTTTTAATTCAGTATATCTCATTATGTGTTTACTTATTTCATCTGTAGACATGGGTGAGGGTGGTGGGCAGTAGCTGACTTCCATGTTTAACATAAAAGTATCAACTAGAATTTGTCTGTGTCATGGGAACTTCCAGGCAGGGGGGTAAAGAAATGTGGCTTCTACCATTTGCTACAATTGGACTTTCTCCAAGGACAAGTGTTAAAAGACATAGTTAATGTTTCAAGGGAGACAGTAAAACTGGCCAGCAGAGACTAGAAACATCTTAAGGAAACTTTCCTTTTTCTTGTTAGTCTCCCATAGTTTAACAGCTGAGCTTTTGAGGTTTGGAAAATTCAAGACCTTTGTTTCATAAGAAAGGGGGCAGGAAGCAAACACAAGCCAATTTTAGGCCCAGATGTTTGAGTCTGCAAAGTTATAACCACTTGAATACTGTTGGTGCCCTGAAGAATGAATGGTGAGAATACACAGCTTTTATTACCATCAGAAATGAGTTCCTATTAAATTTTGAGTAAATGATGAGATTCAATTACCTTTAGTGCTGAATCCCAAGACCCCACTTGAATATTAATAAAGCACATTTAAAAGAAAATTGTATTCAACGTTTTTAAGACTGACTCCCTGATTCAAGGCTATTAGCACACAATTTGGTAGAAAGTGGACTTACAAACTATTGGGCAACTAATTGTAATTTTCTTCTCTCTGGCTTTTGCTCTTGCTGTACCTCTTGCTCTCTTTCTCTCTCTAAATGTGAGCTCACGCTTCTCTGGAAAAGTAGCCTTTTGCTAACTGGATCTAGTTGGTATGCAGAAAGCCAATGGAAAACCTTATCTTTAACAAGCTTCCAGATGGTGCCCAGATTTGGAAATTCTAAGAGCAGTGATGACCTTTCTGCAAAGCTTGTGTAACAGTTCATATGAGTTACAGAACATTCCACTCCATCAAATGACACTGTAAACAAATCACTTCAAAAGAGGCTTGGCTTTGCATGACACAGATAGACCCAACCTTTCATGTTGTGCACTGAGATAGAAATGCAACCCATAGTGCCAGTGCTGGATGGAGCAATGTGCCCTGATGGTCAAAATCCATTAAAGAATAAAGGTGATCAGTGTGGAAAGTTTTTTTATGGGGAAATTATAAGCCCCAGTTGGTACATCAGTGTAAAAGTGGATCATAATTATATATTTCCTCATGAATGTTTAAGAGTGGGGAGGGGTTTTGTTAGTGGAAGAGGAGAGGAAGTTGGCATTGAAAATGAAATTTCCCCATCCAATGAATGATTTTTTAAATAATTTATTTTATTTTTCTTGTTGAGAATATACACAACTGAACATGCACCAACCCAACAACTTCTATATGTACAATTCAGTGATGCTGATTACATTTTTTTAGTTGTGCAACAATTCTCACCCTCATTTTCCAGATTCTTCCTCCTCCATTAACCTAAACTCACTGTCACCAAAGTTTTTATTTAATCTTTCTAGTTGCTGTTGTCATTTTGATTGATCCAAATATTCTTACTAGTTAAGCTAAACTAGCATTTGATTTTAATCTAAACTAGTATTTTATTTTAAGAATTTAGGGGATATTTTTTGTTTAAATTTTAAAGATTATCTCAGGGCAATAGTTTTAGGTACTCATCCAACCACAATGGCTCCAGAAAATCCAAATTCCACAAGAATTTGAAATTCTATTCTGTACTTTCACTTTTTTGATCAGGATTCTTCTGCAATCTTTAATCAAAATGTTCAATAATGACAGTCAAGCACCATACAGTCCTTCTGGTCTCATAGTAAAGGAGACAAGTTGTTCATGGAGACAATTAGCCACACATTCCATATCCTCCTCCTATTCCTGACTCTCCTTCTTTCTCAGTTGCACCAGTTGAATAGTAACTAATTGTTGTATCTTGGATGGCTGCTCACAATCTTTTAAGATCCCATTCCCTACACAATGAACTTGGTGGCAGAACAGAAGCACTAAACTTGTTCTTAGGCCAATTAACTGGTATGTCCCATGAAACCATGAGCATAAACTCCAAACCAGTAAGCAAAATCCCATGAGGTCTTTGGTTGTTACATAAACAGTCTCTGTTGCTACTCTTTGTGTGTATGTGTGTGTGTGTCATTGTTGTAAATATATTTATCACACACACACACACACACACACAAAGAGTAGCAACAGAGACTGTTTGCAACTTTTGTAAATTCCACTTTTTACAGGTGCTAATGACTGATTTTGATAATGATATTCTAACCATTCTCAATGCACTAGTGCAGCATCATTGTGCAAAGACAATAAATGTTGTATAAATGTACAAAGAAAAGGAAGACATGTAGGTCTTTTCTTTTGAATATGTGCACTTAAATGGAATTGTTCCTTGCTTATTGTCCAAAATGCATGAAAGTCTTCAGTTCTACAAATGGTAGAGGAGGCAAAGAGGGCAACAGGAAATCTATGACTTCACCAAGGTTCAGTAAACAATAAACTCCCCGTTCCATTCTGGATTTGACTGTGATCTGTACATCCACCTACCCTTTTGGTTTTAAACTCCTAGAGGGGTGTCCTCATGAGCAGGAATGTCCACCATTATTACTTTCATAGAGGGCCATGAGTCTAATCTATCACAGAAATTAATTACTTACCTCTGGGGGAGGATTGTGACACCATTTTTATCAAGATCCAAGAGTCCTGGGGCAATATGTCACATTCTCATGTATATGGCAAAAGACATCTCTCTGTCAGAGAGTTTCTGTTGAATATTAACTTACAAAAACAAATATAAAGAAATAGAATGGTTCATGAGCACGTGAAAAAGGATCCAGTACCCATGGGGCTGATAATATGACAGTGTATGTCATAAAGAAGAAGATTGGTTAGGAGGATAATTTGGATAATGAAAATTTTAATTTTTATAGGAAAAAGCTTTCCAGTTACAGATTAATAGCACTACAGCTTTCAGATTCAATAGAGAACATACCAGCACTAAAAAATGTCTCCTTGGTTGGATCTGTTGAGAAAGAATTTTCTAACAGAACTGTAACAGTTCCCAATTGTTGTGGGCTGAATTGTGTTCTCCAAATATAAGTGTTGCAATCTTAACTCGTGTATCTCTCTCTGTAATCTTGTCTGGGTATAAGATCTCCTTGCTGTGTTAATGAGACCATATTAGTGTAAGGTGTGTCCTAAACCTGAGTTATAAACCTGAGTTATAAAAAGAGCATATTAGACATAGGTGCTCAAACAAACAGAAATACAGATACTAACTGATGACACCAGAAGTAGGTGAATCTACAAGTTCAGAAACACCAAGGAGTGCCAGCTACTAGATGCTGAAATACACAAAAGATCTCCCCCTCTCCCCATATGCAGAATTCAGATTTTCTAGCCTCCTAAACTGTGAGAAAACAAATTTCTGTTCTTTAAAGCCACGCACTTGTGGTATTTCTGTTATAGAAACACTAGGAAATTAAGATCTTTCTACATGTGCTCATGAGCACACCTACACATGCACACACACACACACACACACATACTTTTCCTTCTCTTTTTTAAGCACAAACAAGTGTAATCCAAACCCACTATCATTGAGTTGATTCTGAATCATAGCAACCCTATAGAGCAGAATAGAACTGCCCCATAGGGTTTCCAAGACTATAAATCTTTATGGAGCAGGCTACTACTACATCTCTCTCCTGGGTAGCAGCTGGTGGATTCAAACTGCTGAACTTTTGGTTAGCAGCCCAGCACATTAACTACAGCACTACCAGAGCTCCTAAGCAAGCATTGTTGTTGTTGTTGTTATTTGCCGTCGAGTTGGACCCGACTCATAGCAACCCATCCTTGGGTTTCTGAGGCAGTATCACTACAGAAGTAGATTGCCCCATCTTCCTTCTGAGGAGTGGCTGGTGGGTTTGAACCACCAGCCTTCTGGTTAGCAGTCAAGTGCCTTAGGCACTATGCTACTAGAGCTCCTTAAGCAAGTATATAAAGGTAGAAATGAGAATCTGTGGAGTTGATGGAAGATAACATTCTAGAAAACGATCTTCAAGGAAGTGTTAGATAAAGATTCCAGGAAGATATGTGCAATAATGTTTGTTGTCGTTGTTGTTAGGTATCATCTGTGTTGTTGTTGTTATGTGCCATCGAGTCAGACCCGACTCATAGCGACCCCTCCTTGGGTTTCCAAGGCAGCATCACTATGGAAGTAGATTGCCCCATCTTCCTTCTGAGGAGTGGCTGGTGGGTTTGAACTGCCAGCCTTCTGGTTATCAGTCAAGTGCCTTAGGCACTAAGCTACCAGAGCTCCTAGGTACCATCTAGTCAGTACTAACTCATGGTGACTTTAGGTACAACAGAACAAAACTCTGTCCAGTCCCATGCCAGCCTCATAATCATTACTATGTATGAGTCCATTGCTGTATCCATTGTGTCAATCCATCTTATTGAGGGTCTTCCTCTTTTTCTCTGATCCTCTACTTTATCAACC